AAATTAACCCAAATGCACATCAGAAGTTTAGCAATCTGTATAAAATTCAAAAACATATCAGCATCATGTGAGGACGCTTCCGAATAATAATTGCTACATCGTTAAGAATTTAAGGAACTTACAAACTTCTTTCTTTGGGTCTCTTCTGATGTGTAAAAACAACCAAATAGTAAAAAAACAACAACATATATTTGCTTTACAACATACATTTTGATGCATGTCCTATAAGTATTTTGGTTTTCAGAAGTAATTGTAATTTAACTTCGGTAAATTCTACCTACTCCTCAATCATCCTACCCTTGACATCTCAAATTTATCGCAACATATCTAATATCTCTAAGGAAAGTTTATTCATGATCCCAAAAGCTTTAAGACATTGAGGTTTTGCTGAATTTCATTTCTAATTTAATTATTAATCAAGATATTCATTAACGAATGATCACAAAACATTTTTGTACGGGGTGTTGTTATTTCCAACCTTTCATTTCTACTCCATGTGATCAAAAACAAAGATATCCTAATTCCAATCACAGAGAATATATGTTTATATAAAAGTATTGTGAATTTTCCTTTTCATTCAAACAATCAATATGAAATTGAAAATTATGTTGTTTAACAATAATAATGCTAGGGCTGGGTATTGGCCCAAGATTTCGTATTGCGATATATTGCGATATTTGTAACTGTATTGCGATATGTATTGCAATATTTTCAATGTAATTTAAATGGCATTTTCTTACTATATTTGCTTTAATTTACATACAGAATGTACATATCTATGATAAGTAACCAACACTGACAAAAAAATTGTTGATTTCATTAAAGTTATGCTCTGAAATGTTCCCACAAAACAACTTCTGTTGTACTGTTCGGCTTAATAACAAACTTTCATTAGTCCATTTTAATATTTAATGACAAAATTCCTTAATCTAAGCATATTGCCAATATATCGATATTACAAAATCGTATTGCAATACGATATTTTTTGTCATTGTATTGCAATATATTGAAATATCGATATTATTGCCCAGCCCTAAATAATGCCCATTCTCCCCGTTTTGACCTTTGTTTATTTCTAAGATTATTTTATTTCTAACTTATATCCCGGTGAGCTTGAGATAAAAGATACCACAGAGTTTGACGCATCTGTTTCATATTTGGATATTTTACTTTAAAACAAGAGGCCCATGGGCCACATCGCTCACCTGAGGATAGTAACAAGCAAAAATCAATTCAGTAATTGCTTAAGACGTTCAAACCCTAAGAGAGGGATGTAATTAGAACAAACCTGAATCTACACGGAGAATTTAATGCGAATTAGTTTAATTCGAATTTGTTTACTGCGCATTAAATTACTTCACATTAGCTCCGTGTGAACGCTAAGCGAAGCCAATTCGAATTAAATTTTGAAGCAAGCGTAATGGCAAAATTAGGTCAAATGCCACATGTCCGTGGTCAAATTGAAGTATTTGTGCTATTTTTGAATGAACAACTAAGGAAAATTGTGTTAATCACTAAAATATGAGTACAGACACTGTAACATTATGCCAAATGCATCTGCTCCTGCATAAGGTGACGTGACTTGCAAATGACGTCATAATAGCCTTACTGACTCCTAGCTGTAGAAGTAGAATTTTAATTCGCATTAGTTTACTTCGCATTAGCTGTCGTGTGAACGCAATTTAATTCGCATTAGTTTGATTCGCATTAGTTTACTTCGCATTAATTTACTGCGAATTAAACTCGTCGTGTGAACAGGGCATTAGATTTACACTAACTTAGGATAATTGCATTTTTTTTTTGACTGCGGCTTTTTCCCTTTAAGTTTTTACTTTTATTGTGATCCCACATAACCCCACCCCCAACTCCAGGGGTTATGATTTTAACAAATCTGCAGCTACACTACCAGAGGACGATGTAAAACTTTGATTGTCTTTTGTAGCCCCGCCCTACACCCGGGGATAATGATTCGAACAAACTCAAATCTATACTTCCTGAGAATGCTTCCATATAAATATCACCAACCATGGCTTTGCTGTTCTTTAGAAGATTTTTAAAACAAAAATTCCTATATATTCCTATGTAAAACTTTGATTGTCAATTGTGGCCCCGACCTACACCCGGGGGTCATGATTCGAACAAAATTGTATCTACACTACCCGAGAATGCTTCCATATAAATATGGGAAAAAAGATTTTTGCCTATATATTCCTATGTAAAAATTTTATCGTTCATTGTTGCCCCGCCCTACCCCGAGGATAATGATTTGAATCAAATTGAATCTACACTACCTGAGGATGTTTCCACACAAGTTTCATCTTACCTGGCCCAGTGGTTCTTGAGAAGAAGATTTTTAAAAGATGCTATTAATTTTTCACTTATTTGCTATTATCTCCCCTTGGACTTGGGTGTGGCCCTTCATTTGAACAGTTTTGAATACCCTTTACCCAAGGATACTTTGTGGCAAGTTTGGTTGAAATTGGTCCAGTGGTTCTTGAGAAGAAGTCGAAATTGTGAAAAGTTTACAGAAAGATGGACAGACAGACAGCTAACAAGACGGACGGCGGACAAAATGTGATAAAAAAGCTCACTTTTCAGGTGAGCTAAAAAGACGTCAATGGTAATCTAACAACCAAGTTCTATGATAAACGTGATAACTTTAATTTTACAATCGTTAACATCCCGCACCTATGCAGTTGCAGTAATATACCTTCATCACCTGCATAAGGAGTATATATATCTCAGTTGATTAGATGCGCAAGAGCATGCTCTACGTATGATTTTTTTTAATGAGGTAAATTATTGACAAACAAGTTGACGAAACAAAAATATCAGCAGTCTCGTTTAAAATCGTCATTTCGTAAGTTCTATGGTTGATACAATGACCTTTTTGGTACATACAATTTATTATTGAGTCAAGTGCCGACTGACGTTTTTCATACTAATTGTTTGAACACTTTATTTAATTATCCATTATTTGCACACTGAATTGACCACTGATTTTCCCGTTCTTTCCCTATCATCACAAGGAGAATACGGTGCCAGGGAGGTGTGACCAGTCGGCAGGGGATGCTCACTCCTCCATGGCACCTGATCCCACTCTGATGTTTTGGAGGTCCGTGCTTGCTCTGCTCCTATTTTGTATTGTTTTATGGACTTTTGAGTTTGAATACTGTTCGTTATTTCCATATGTTTCATTAATAGGTAGCAAATGGAATCATTGACAAGACAACTCCTAAAATAACGATACTTGCGAAAGGCACTTTCCATAGGTTTATTGCTCCCTGACCCCCACCATTACGATTCCCGCTGCTTAAAGTCATCTATGATATGTTTGATGCTTAACTGCAGTGTAAATCTATCATAACTTATGATATGCAACTGATCCCATGACCTGCCGATATGTAACAGAGCCTTTTTTTCACAACGTTGCAATTTAATGAATACAAAATACTGTACTCCAGGAAAAATTAAGGTGCATTTAAGGAGGAACAGGACCTCAAGCTGAAAAACTTCCTGTCAATGATTTTTTTTTCGTATTTTTTATATTACTAATTTAATATGTACTTAACATTTTAAAACATTTTAACATTTTAAAACGGTCCTGTCATGGGATTTCTTGACTTATTTAAAAGATATCGCCCCACAAATACCGCCCTGTTTAGAGTTTGTATGGAGTTTAGATACTTCATGTTTACGGGCCCATAACGGAGTCCATAATGCGAATTTTTACGCACAAACTATAAATATGATAGATAACACTATTTACTCAAATATTTCAGAATATTCATATGTTTAAATTATCTTAAATCAATTGTTTTATTTTTATATAGTATTTGGGTGGGATAATTTCTGCATTTTTCAAGGCAGCTTCAACGACAAAAACCTAATTTGGAAAAAATTCTGTCAATAAATATTTCTAAATTTACGATTGAATATCAGTCTTTCATCGTAATTATTTACTGCATAAATATCACAGGGTGAAGCTTACCTCAATATCGCACAGGACATCGTTGAATTAGACGTAAGCATGAGAAAAACGCTTCACGTGTGTATTTTCCGAGTGCGGGAAATCAATTGTGACGTCACACGAAAACATAAAGATTCAAAATTATCTAAATAGAGAGAATCTCTGCTACTTTACACGAAAAAATATTAATTGAAATAATTTGCTTCAGAAATTTATCACGATACATTGACTGTGACCCGTTTATTATGAAATAAAACTGATCATGACGGGTGTGTGTACTTGATCTCGCTGCACTGAGAATTCAAACAATAAGTCTATGACGTCACTGACGTCAGACTGCAGGGTAAAGAGAAACAAATGTGTGGATTGGGCAACTTCACAATATCTAAATGATGGCAAGATCTTCAAAAAATTTATTGATAATAATTTCTAAAATTAAATGTTTAAAAAACAATTTCAGAATTTAGAAAAAAATTACTCAAGAACTGTTGATTTTAACAACGTTTAACATGTATATCATCACCGATTATGACGTAATATGTCTTTTTAGTCATGTGATATGTGCCCTGTCCCCCTTAAATAATGATAACAATACTCTATTCTGATAAATATATTTATTACATTCTCCCTTTTATTTACATTCACCACAGACTCGAGATACACTATCATAATGCAAGTTTGCTCATGAACAACAAATAGACTATCCATTTTTTTTTCTCTATTTTTTTAAAATAAATAATGTAGTGCTCTGATTTTTTATTACAAACTCTTTCATAAAACAAGAATTTTAGGGTTTCTTGCTCTGATGCTTTCATAAATGCCTACTAGTTCAAAGCCATGTACTCCGTATTCAATGTCTAAAGAATTGCAATCCACTGGTCATTATAAAATAGTCGTTTTCTATTTTCAATCAAATCAAAATTCCATTTTTGAAGCTAAAAACATTAACCCTAATTAGTTGATGTTTTTGAATAAAAACAATAAAAACAAATCAGATGTCTGAAATATGTTTATTTGAGGAACCTTTTTTTTCCAGAAACTGAGGACACATTTTAAGCAAGTGAAAACACACTTTGTATAAAGCTTCGTTAAAACTCAATGGTTTAATTTTTCATCTTAAACTTTCTTAATAACTACAATTTTGTCAATGATGTTCCTCGGTAATCCTATATTCAGGAGAGAATTCTAGGTATTCTGCTTCGGTTATAGGTACAGAGCAGGTATATGTCGTCAATATTCCACCTCCGACTCTAACTAAGATAGTCTTTTCATCTACGATGTCCAAAGAAAACGTAAACTCGTCCGAAAATACTGCCTCATTCGCATCAGTGATGACTTCTCGTTGCCATCTTCCATCAAGGAAAGAGTTCAGAATTATTTGATATGATGGATGCCGTGGATTGAAATGCAGAATAATATCGCTCCCTTCTTTCATATCGCGTCTAAAATTTATGGCCATTCCGCTAAATAAAAAATTAGCATTATAAATTGACAAGGCATTGAAGAGAGAGAGAGAGAGAGAGAGAGAGAGAGAGAGAGAGAGGGGGGGGAATTTTACCCTTCCTTTCCATTTCCTCTCCTGTTATAATTCACTCTAAAGCCAATGCGTTGTCCAATCTGTACTTGATTTCCAGTCTGCTTTAGTTTGAACTGTTCAATCATTAAATGTCATTTCAAATTTAAGGTAGGGAATAAATATTTAAACAACAGGCCCATGGGCCACATCGCTCACCTGAGCACTGTGGCTAGGAAAAAGAAGAAATTGGTTTATTATTGAAAAGTTTAAATCCAAAAGTAGTCCCATGGCCAATCATGGCTTTGCTATTCTTGAGAAGATGATTTTTTAAGAATTTTCTTATATTTGTCTTTGTAAATCTTTGATTATAGCCATTGTGGCTCCGCCCTACCCCAGGGGTCATGATTTGAACAAACTTGAATCTACACTACCTGAGGATGCTTCCATATATACAGTCCCTGAAACGTTCTACTTTCCCACCTGAACGGTGAGCGAATGCTGAACGAACGGTGAACGATCGCGAACGCTGAGCGAACGATGTGTGAACGATGTGTGAACGCTGAACGCAACGTGGTGAACGATGTGTGAACGGAGAACGGTGAGTGAACGCAGAACGCGAACGGAGCGCAAACGATGAACGGTGAACGAACGGTGAACGCAAGATGAACGATGTATTTGGAATGCCTCAGATTTTTTCCTTGCATTTAAACTATTCTGTTGTATTCTAATGTTCGATGCTAAAATATAAATAAACAATAAGTAAATAAGTGAATAAATAATTAAAACAATTTTTTTCTGCACATACGTATGATGTTTTGGATCAATATTTTAATAACACGATTTTTATTGCCGCAAAACACGTGTAATTGTTACCGAACACATGTAGTATAAAAGATAAAATTAATTTACTAGTAAAATAAATCTGCTTATTCTTTTAACTAATAAAATAATGTGGACTTCAGAAGAGAAACCTACAACTTATAGAATGAATTTATTACATTGTACCACAGTTGTAAAAACTATATACTACATGTGTATATGTTTCGATGCCACGGCGATTCCGTGTAAAATAACGATTTTGTGTTTATTTACAAAGGTCTGTTGACGTATTGCATAAATACACTCGTATCTAAAATTTTAATGCAATAATATTAGATACTTATTTGTTATTTGTTATTTTTTATGATTATTTTTTTAGCAAAGTTTTACATGTAAATGTATATCTGAAGATATTTCCCGACCGTGATTATACTCGGACAAGATAATGGAAAGAGGCATTCAAATCATTTGTAATAGATTAGATTTTCAGAACAAAACAAATATGATGTCATAGTTTTTATTTAACAGGACAAATGTAAAAGCAAGAGAGACTGGAGAGAAAGAGAGAGAGAGAAAGATGTAAGCCCCCTCGATTCTCAGATATCTACTGCATCGAATAACAAGAGGCCCATGGGCCTTATAGGTCACCTGAGCATTATGCAACAACATTCCAATGATTGAATTTGATTCATGTTTTAAACCAGATGCTATGGCATTCACAATTTTGAAAGAGGCACCATTGATCATCATAATTATACACTTAGCAGTTGCTTAGTTTGGTTACTTAATACACATTGGCAGGGTAGGGGAACAAAAAATACATTTCAACTAATCAGTAATATTCAGCTATAATCAGTAGTGCCCCTACCACACATGAACCCCTGACCCTTAGGCCTAGATCCACACATTGCACAATTTTTGAAAATGCATCCTTGCTTTTCAAGAATATTTGATTAATACAAAGGAGCAGATTTCAAACCATTCTTTTTTAGTATATAAGTACAGCACCCCCCCCCCCCCCCCATGGTTCCCCTGACCCTTGGGCCTTGAAATTCACAATTCTTAAGGCCCTTCCTCATCATAACTATATAGGTAGTTCATCTGCTTAATACCTAGGAGTAGAGAAGAAAATTTTCAAAGATTTAATGTATTTTCACTATATAATCAATAGAACCCCACCCTAACACCAGAGCCCCTGACCCTGGGGCCATAAAATTCACAATTTTGGTAAAGGCACTCTTGCTCATCATAACTTTGCACTTAGTTAGTTTATTTAATACCTAGGAGCAGAGAAGAAGATTTTCAAAGAATTCATGTATTTTCACTATATAATCAATAGAGCCCCGCCTTCACACCAGAACCCCTGACCCTGGGGCCATAAAATTCACAATTTTGGTAAAGGCACTCTTGCTCATCATAACTTTGCACTTAGTTAGTTTATTTAATACCTAGGAGCAGAGAAGAAGATTTTCAAAGAATTCATGTATTTTCACTACATAATCAATAGAGCCCCGCCTTCACACCAGAACCCCTGACCCTGGGGCCATAAAATTTACAATTTTGGTAAAGGCACTCCTGCTCATCATAACTTTGCACTTAGTTAGTTTATTTAATACCTAGGAGCAAATAATAAGATTTTCAAATAATTTTTGTATTTTCACTATATAATCAATAAAGCCCCGCCTTCACACCAGAACCCCTGACCCTGGGGCCATAAAATTCACAATTTTGGTAAAGGCACTCTTGCACATCAAAAGAATGTACTTAGTAAGTTTATTTAATGCCCAGGAGCAGAGAAGAAGATTTTCAAAGACATAATGCATTTTCACTACATAATCAATAGAGCCCCGCCCTAACACCAGAACCCCTGACCCTGGGGCCATAAAATTCACAATTTTGGTAAAGGCACTCTTGCTCATCATAACTTTGCACTTAGTTAGTTTATGTAATACCTAGGAGCAGAGAAGAAGATTTTCAAAGAATTCATGTATTTTCACTATATAATCAATAGAGCCCCACCCTAACACCAGAACCCCTGACCCTGGGGCCATAAAATTTACAATTTTGGTAAAGGCACTCATGCTCATCATAACTTTGCACTTCATTAGTTTATTTAATACCTAGGAGCAGAGAAGAGGATTTTCAAAGAATTCATGTATTTTCAATACATAATCAATAGAGCCCCACCCTAACACCAGAATCCCTGACCCTGGGGCCATAAAATTCACAATTTTGGTAAAGGCACTCTTGCTCATCATAACTATGCACTAAGTTAGTTTATTTAATACCTAGGAGCAGAGAAGAAGATTTTCAAAGAATCCATGTATTTTCACTATATAATTAATAGAGCCCCGCTCTAACTCCAGAACCCCTGACCCTGGGGCCATAAAATTCACAATTTTGGTAAAGGCACTCTTGCTCATCATAACTTTGCACTAAGTTAGTTTATTTAATGCCCAGGAGCAAAGAAGAAGATTTTCAAAGAAATAATGCTTTTTCTCTATGTACTTTTTTAGCCCCGCCCTAGCACTAGAACCCCTGACCCCAGGGCCATGAATTTCACAATTTTGGTAGAGGTCTCAATGGAGATTACAATCATGCAAACAGTTTGACTGCTTGATGTCCAGGAGTAAAGAAGAAGATTTTTAAAGATTGCATTAATTTGAGTGGTTTTGGCCCCACCCCTAAGGCCCCGGGGGGGGGGCATAAAATTCACAATTTTTGTTCCCCTTCACCCATAGATGCTGTATACCAAATTTGGTTGAAATTGGTTCAGTGGTTTCAAAGAAGAAGCTGAAAATGTTCAAATGCTAACACACGACGGACGACGCACGACGAACGACGACGGACGAAAACGGATAGCAATAGGTCACCTGAGTTTACTCAGGTGACCTAAATACTCACATCATTTTTTTTCTAATATTCCAGGCAGTCAAAGTAATGTTTTTTGGTTTTTTTTTGAAGATTAAAAAATCCATTTGACAGTAAGCATCGACTTTTATTTTCCTCCATCAAGTTCACGCGGTTCACTCGAAGTGCACGTGCTTGTCGTGTCAATCAAAATAATTCGACACAATGGAGGTGTGGAAATCTCGCTTCAACGAGCATGCCGAAGTCAAAGAGTCACTTAGTACTTCCAAGAAGTTTTAACATTTTTTACATAATTTCTACATTTGATTTTTGCTTTTCTACGGAAAAAAAAAATAATGGTAATACATGTAGATACCTGGAAGGATTAAGTTTGAATTTTAAATTGAAACATAATCCCTGCCAAATTAAAATACCACTGTCGGCACATGTATGTATATAATGACTGTTTTGATGTTTGTTTTAAGAATGATTTTTTTTGTGTTACAATACACAATGAATATCAATTAATATATACTGAAAATACTAACTAAGAATTTGATTTCTGGAGAAAAGGCGCCGGGGGGGGGGATCTTAAGCATACTGAATGTCCAATATAGATTTAGTTACGGTGAAGGAAGGATTTTTCCTTTCTAATAATACACTTTATATACGTGAAGTAGAAAAAATTCTTATATATTACATTTTAAACAAATGGTCTTTTCTAAAATTTAAAATCACACTATCACTTTAATTCACTCAACAAATATTTAATTAACTGAATATCTGAGGTATTGTTCATAATTCTCAGACCTTTATGTAGTTCTAACATGTTTTCGTGCATTTTTTCTCTAAATACGTGTTAGAAATAATTTTTTGTGTATTCTTGTCTTGTAAAAGACTTGGATTATTATCCATTCATTAACGATTTGTCGTCCTTTACATTACAACAAAATGCCGCGCTTGAAGTATCTGTACATTGCCCTTATTTAAATTTAATATTTCAGCATCGTTCTACTTACATGTGGGTTCTTAATGTATTATTTTCCAGGGAAATTTTATGGATAAAGTAACAGCTAAGTTATAATAATAGAAATATAAATATCGTAGATACTTTTTGCATTGAAATAATTATTCTTCAAACACGATATCTTAGTTATTTAATTAAAAAACGTGTAAATCCTTACCATCAAAAAGATAAGTCCTTTCACTTCGGAGTTCCGAATGACAATAAAGACTGAACGATAAGTGAACGGTGAACGCAAGGTGAACGCAAAGTAAACGGAACGAAGAGCGAACGGTGAACGTTCTGTGAACGGTGAACGCGAGCGCACGGTAAACGGTGAACGCAAAACTGTGAACGGAGAGCGAACGGTGAACGCACGCTGAACGAACTCTGAACGAACGGTGAGCGAACAGAAAAATGGGAAAGTAGAACGTTTCAGAGACTGTTTATGATCAATTATGGCTTTGCTAACTTGAATCTACACTACCTGAGGATGCTTCCATATAAATATGATCATGTCAATTATGGCTTTGCTATTCTTGAGAAAAAGATTTTTAAAGAATTTTCCTATATATATTTCTTTGTAAAACTTTGATCGGCCATTTTGGCCCCGCCCTACCCTCGGGGGTCATGATTGAAACAAATTAGAATCTACACAACCTGAGAATACTTCCAGATGAATATGATCAATTATGGCTTTGCTATTCTTGAGAAGAAGATTTTTTAAAAATTTTATATATATATATATATATATATATATATATATATATATATATATATATGTATAACTTTGGTCGGCTATTGTGGCCCCGCCCTACCCCAGGGGTTATGATTTGAACAAATGTGAATCTACACTACCTGAGGATGTTTTCCCATAAGTTTCATCTTTCCTGGCACAGTGGTTCTTGAGAGGAAGATTTTTAAAATATAACACCAAATTTTCATTAATTCCCAATAATCTCCCCTTGAATGAAGGGGGTGGCTCTTCATTTGAACAAACTTGAATCCCCTTCACCCAAGGATGCTTTGTGGCAAGTTTGGTTGAAACTGGCTCAGCGGTTCTTGAGAAGAAGTCGAAAATGTGAAAAGTTTACGACAACGACAACAACGACGACAACGACAGACGACTGACAAATTTTGGTCAGAAAAGCTCAGTTGAGCCTTCGGCTCAGGTGAGCTAAAAATTTAAAACTATTGATGATTTCTGAAATTATTCAAAGATATTATTAATTTGATAAGTGACTGCAAAGAATTATTTTATTCTCTCATCAAATGATTTGATAGTACATGAACTGATCTAGCGAGACCCAATATTTAATTCAATGAACACATTGGCAACTAATCAATTTTGTTCTTATCACTTCAGCCAATCCGTTGTTGAACTCAAAATGGAGATATGGTTGTAAAGCGCAATTTAAAGTTTTGTAAACTTACTTAAAATTTTATTTCAATTAAATGTATTTCTTTTTTTTAAGTATTCGTTGATTTACAGTTGTATTAAATCTTAGAAACCTTTGAAAAAAATATTGCGAGTAGTAATTATTGCACTCTTTAGTCAATTGCTTTATAAGAATTTTCAGACGTTTGAACGTTTGATTTTGTATCTTTAAATGACAAAGATATCTGAAAAGTTTCTTGTGCACATCAATAATGAATTCAGATAATTATATATTTAAAAAGATCTTCTAAAAATGAGTTGATGTAAACATCGCAATCGTTAATATCATGTTTTACAAACCAAAAAACTACATGTAGAAGATACTCACAAATCCCATCCTTTTATCTTGTGTATCTTTTTGAAAGTTTCAATGCTCCTAAATTTAAAAAACAAATAATATAATATTTTGTGAATTGTGAATTTTTCAATGTTTTAACTCAAAACATAACATGCGTCCATAGCATAGTAATTAATCTGACGATATTTGAAAAACAATATCACCAATCCTTTGAAATGTTGCCTCTAATTGTCCTCCGCCCCCGCTTTCCGTCTGTCACAGAAACTTGAACCTTAGGCATAACATTTGAATGAGAAGGGCTCGGGCTTTTATAGTTCACATGTACATAACCTTTCCGAAAATATTATCTCTGTTTTACACTGTGACCACGACTTTGAAGTCCGGCCTACTTTAAAAAGCCTTTTTATTTCTTTAAATATATCATAATTTTTGAAAGAGTAAGGTTGGGGCTTTCGTTTTATGTATATGATCGGTTCATGATCATATAGAGAAGACAACAATTTGCAATATATACTTTGAAAATATATTCCGCTTTCAAAATGCAGGAAAAAATGGTGGACAACGAGTGTTGAGCTTGGAGGCTGAGTGTTGGGATATTGAACATTCAATGACACCAAATAAAACTGGAAACAAAAAGCAATAGTTTTCACATTGGTTATTTTTTCTCCACGTCTTTCTCCAAGTCATTTAATGATACGGCACTATTATTCTAATCAATATCATAATTCAAGTGTAGCCCAAAAGTGTTACTATTACAACTATGATAAACATAATTATCAAAAAATAAGATAATGACAAAAAAGGGTAGTTACAAAAACGTTTCTTTAGAAAAATTAATTACAACACAGTTTTTTTATTAATCAGAGTTGAGTTATGCATTTAATCAATTTATCATTTTTCTTTCTATCCATCTTCTGACGAATGATTGCTATTCTTATTAGTGAAATGCAGTTTGCCAATAAAGAATTTACTTATGAAAATTCACTTACCGAAAGCAGAATAAAATACTGTTTTGTTTTTTTTTTTATTTCACGTGAACATTCTTAAATACCCACGTTTTAGGGCTTGGCACAGAAGTACCCAATCAAATGGATCGAAGTCAATTTTTTGAACAATTGATATGAACATGTTTTTCTCTTCGTCGTTTTTGTGAAATTTAAATGTAATTCTTGGAACTCAACCATATGCATTGTAGGTTACATTTAAAGGTGGGGAATTCAAAGGCGTTCCCTACGAATGAAAAAAAACCATACTGTCCTGCTACGTAAATATACAATATGAAGACACTAAATAACCCTTTTTGTACATCATGCAAGAAAACAAACTTAATTTAATCCCTAAAGTGTATTAACAATCGAGTTAAGACTAAGTAACGTGCAATTAATTGATTGAAACGCGTATACAGAAAAGACGAAACTTTATTTGTTAATACAAAACACGTACCCATATAAAGTGATACAAAGATCACAGTATGACAATATAATTAATTATCTCTGTTCTCTTCTTTACAGTGTTATAGAAACTATCGACAAAATTGCTTCGGTGAAAGGTTTCATTCATTTTTATAGAAAAAGGTATATGTGTATCAAGCGAATTCAAAGAATTGTGGTCCTCTGCGTTCTGTTTCTTTTTTCGGTGTTTTAATGGATGGGACGTCATTATTTATGGTATATTACATTAAACATGAACGCCTCAATGCACATCTCAAATATGGAAGCCCTACCTGTTTTTAAGTCAAAAGTTATAAGGGAAGACAACATTAATGACAACAGGTCACAATTCAAGGTCATTGACTCAAAAATCATAGTATATATATCTTAGATATATATAATAAAATCTTTTGAAAATAGGCCGGGTAGCCCGCGTGGGGCAGCAGTTAGAGGTCTGCTCTAGAGTAAGGAGTCAATCCTTATATCGCAGGCTCGAATCCCACTGTGGGACGTGGAGAGCGGTCCTTCAGACGCGACTGTATAAACCGAGGTCTCATGTCGCAGTAGGTCCTGGCATGAAAAAGATCCCTCCTGTTCAATGGCCCTGAGTGCCGATACAGGACACAATTTGCCGTCTGTTGTCACAGTTGTATCATCTGTCCCAGTTGCTAGTAATAAGGTGTGGGAAATGTAAATTACAAGCACATACACGGGACAACATTTACCCTTGACAAATAAAGCAGTCAGGTGTAACGAATTCGAACAGTATACCTTAGTGGTGATATCGTAGATGGTAATTTCGAAAATTGCGTATGTTTACTTACGAGTCATGTTCTGCTTTAAGTTTATGGACATTTGCAAAAACTACTTCAATGTAGGTATCGACATTATCACTTTAAAAAAGCTGTACTGTTTGAAATTCGATATTTAAAATTATCAAATTTGTTATAAGGAACTTAATTCCTTAATCCATTTTGTTTTTATAATAATAGTAATAATAATAATAATAATGATAATTATAATAATTATTATTATTTTTTTTATTATTATTATTGAATACGTAATATCGAATGAAATTTGTTACTAAAAGTTTGTTGAGTTCGTCTTTGAATTAACAGTACTTGACTCAGATTAAACAGATGATAAGTGAGTCAGAGACCCATGGCAAATGTAAACAGTGAGTAGTTACTACTCTGGACCACTTAATGAGTTAGGGCCTTGGTATATTGAAATTCCAACAAGTGAAATTCTCCATCTATCCTCTTTTTCAATTAATTCCTCTTTAATAAATTAATTCCTTTTTAATTAATGAGTTAATGAGTTCTATTTTAGTTTTATATTAACGGCATCTTTAGAAATATTTGCCAACGTTATCGAAAACAAAATAAAAAGATTCGACCTAATTCAGTGAAAATGCCGGTAAAATGGGATGAATCAACACAGGAGCCACGGCCTAGTTCGGAGAACTTCCTTTCTGAGTATTATGAAACATAATCCATACGTGCATGAAACAACAATTTCCTTGTTATTTTCGCATTTAATACATCCACTTTTATTCAGAATGTTATTTAATGCATTTTTAAAAGCTTCAGACGTTTAATTTACACAAAGTTTGTTTGGCAAGGAAACGTTCAAAGGTGCACAGAAAATGTAATATTTTATCGCTTTTTGTCACGATAACTTTTACTTTAACCATTTTGGAGAGTAAGAAAAGCTTGAAAATCCATCATCATCATCCTCAAAGTGCCAATTTATCCCTTTTCAACAAACATAAGTATGTACATGATCATCATACGTATGTACATTTCAGTTGAAACGTAAGGAGTTTTCTACTTTAGAAGGCTCATTACACCCCAAGTTAATTTTAGGTTTCGTTACAGCAACATTTATAATGTAGATGTCAAACATCCAAATGGAGGTATATGTAATGATATGATAAATATTTTTAGTGAATTTTTTTTCTGATTATAGTTAAAAGCTTAATTTCAAGATTTGTTTTTATAGAATTGCAGAGATTTCAGAGTCAAATAATGGACATCTTCTGCATGTATGTCAAAATTTCATATAAATAGCATTAGAAACAGACGATTGGTGTCATGATTTTCAAAGTGTTGTTGGAATTGAGCTTGTTGAAAATGACTCGTCAAACGCGTAACCGGCGCACGGAGATATAATAAATTGTTTTGAATATGCTTTGTATATCTCAAAGATGGGAAAAAAGAGTACAGAAGTGACGTTACACTCTAGATTTTAATAGAGAAGTTATTTTTAAATGACATGAGATATGGGGGTCGCCATCACTTGCCTTTGAAGTGCTGCAAATTTAATTCAACACCTACTACGGCACGGGACCTCGGTTTATACAGTCTAATCTGAAAGACTAGTCTCCACATCCCACAGGCTGTGGGACGTGGGTCACAGTGTATTCGAACCTGCGACGTAATGATCAACTATTTACTCTACGACTCAAGACCAGACGCTTTTCACACGGGCTTGTAGGACACTATATGCAAAACCGTAGGAAATATCGATATCAATATTCAATTTCAAACAAGTTTAATTGTAGCTTAATGCTAAACGTGATTTTGATTGGACTCTTCCATCATATATATATATATATATATATATATATATATATATATATATATATATATATATATATTTATATACCCTTATATAAAGCCGATGACGCAGCATACAATTAAGAAACGTTCATTTAACTGCAATAAAATGTTTACCAAGGAAATGTAAGATACAAACAAATACAGGGGCAGACATTTACTCGTGACAATTAGCAGTTAGGTGTAACGAATTCGAACAGTATACCTTAGTGCTTATATCGTATACATAGTGATATCGAAAATGGCGTATATCTATTTACCAGTCATGCTTTGCTTTAAGTTTATGGACACCTGCAAAAACCACTTCAATGTAGATATTGACAATATCACGTCATAAAACTGTACTGTTTGAAGTTCGATATACAAAACTATCAAATTGGTTATAACGAACTACATTCGTTATTCCATTTTGCTTTTTTTTTTTTAAATCAGTAATCAGAGACCCATGGCAAAGGTAAACAGTGGGTAGTAACTACTCAAGACCACGTAATGAATCAGGACCTTGGTGTATTGAAATTCCAACATGGGACATTCTTCATCTATCCTCTTTTTCAATTAATTCATCTTTAAGAAATTAATTCCTTTTTAATGAATGTGCTAATGAGTTCTATTTTAGTTTTATATAACACATCTTTAAAAATATTTTGCTAACGCTCTCGAAAATAAGAAAAAGGATTTGACCTATTTCAGTGAAAATGTCGGTAACATGGGATGAAGTATCGAAACTGAAGCCACAACCTAGTTCGGAGAACTTCCTTTCTGAGTATTCAGAAACATAATCCATACGTGCAAGAAACAACAATTTTCTTGTTATTTTGGCATTTATTCAGAATGTTATTCAATGCATTTTAAAAAGCTTCAGACGTTTGATTTACACAAAGGTTGTTTATATGTTTATAAAGTGGATAAAAAGACATCACATTTTGAAACTGCATTTTATAATGGACAGAACATTATTTTCTGATTACAAGATTATGGATATCATTAGACATTTTCTATGACCTTCCAAACATCGTAATGCAATTTTTATTC